TGAGCCACCCCCCCCCAGCTGGGCTCGCTTGGCTGCTCCTCTCTCGGCAGATGCCTCGGATAGTGGTGATTGTCGCGTGGTGTTTCCTGCAAGTGGAAGGCCGGCGCCCGGAGCTGCCCCCCAGCCCCCACCACGGCAATGGCCATTTCTGGGACAACGACAAGTGGCTCAGCACCGTGTCGCAGTACGAGAGAGACAAATACTGGAACAAGTTCCGGGATGTGAGTGCCGCTTTCTGCCCTTGCGCCTCCCCCCGCGCGGACCTCGCCTGTCTCTGCGCGGCCCTTCCCTGGGAGGCATTTCGAGCCAGCCCCCCGCCCACCTCGTGTGTGGTCTTGAATGTTCTACCCGGGAGTAACTTTGAGAAGTTTCCTGTGCCCGGTGCTTCAGAGACCGTGCAAAATGGTGACACATGTTGAAAAATGGGTTGATTCCTGGCATCGAGTGTGTGTGTGTGTTGGGGGGAAGGAGGGGCTGAAACCTTTTAACCCGCGTAGATCTAGAACAACAAAGCTGGCAATAGTGTTATCAGTTCTGCTCCTGGCAAGAGTTGGCTTAAAGAAGCAGTTTTCTGAGTACATGTTCCTGTAACAAAAAGCAACATGAAATAACTAACAGACCTGGCATAGCATTTTATCTGTGCGGCTACTTTGCATGGTTTGTTTCAGTGTGTTATGCTGTAGAAAAGAACAAGTCTTGCATTCCCACAGTTTCCATGCTGAGGTGTACTGTGAGGCCATGCAGTAAGAGGTGCACTAGTCTTATATGCTGACATTGGGGTAAATGTTAAGAGACCTGTACCCCAGCCTGATTTGGAGGCACAAGCATGCTAATGTTGACTATTAGCAAAGACAGTATTGTCATTGCATGTGACTTCTGCAATATGTCTGCAGTGTGATTCTATACATGGGCAGTGAAAGAAGGGAGAGTTTATATGGAAACATCATCAAAAGGAAGGGCTCACACAATGTTATATTAAAAATAAATGTTGTGCCTTGCATCCTTGATGATGTGCCAGGCCTTGGAAAAAGAGAAACAAGATGCAATACTTAAAATACCACCTAATTGTTTGGCTTGCCTAGACTAAACTGGAATTATGGTTGTGGGTTGCTGTTCTTTTTGTGGCTGCAGGTTGCCTTGTTTGTTTTTTCCTTTGTGAGAAATCCTGTTCTCTATCTTTCTTATTGAAACTTTAGACTTCTTTCAGTCACCATCATCTTCTGGCTGAATGGTTGCCTACATACTTACTATCCTAAGGGGCCCAAGACTATGGTCTTAACGTTGTTAGAAAATAATATGTCAGGAAATAGGTCTGTGAACTCTTGTTATAAGGTCCATCTGTTGAGTCTGAGGAAGTTATTTTCTTTTGATGAAACTTAAGAAAAGCTACATTCTATTTTAACAAAGGGTTCAAAGCTACAAATGTATATACGTTGTATGAATTCATAGATATTCCATTTAGAAGGGACCATTATGATAATCTAGTCTGGCTTTTTGCATAACACAGGCTAGGAGGTTTAACCCAATAATTTCTGCATCAAACCCAGTATGATGATTTAGCAGGATTTAGAGAGAGAGTAAAAACTATTAAAGGCAAAGAAATCAATCCAACTGTCCCTTTAATTAGAGAGCAGAATTTTAGCAATAGCTGAGCACCATTGCTTTCATTCTGAGCCCTTCCAAAAATTATCTTTACATTGAAACTTATTCTTATTCCAGCTAAAAGGTTTGAAGAAAGTTTAATCACCTGGGTTTTTTTTAGTTTTCCAAGGGGAATTGGCTGGAAAATTATATTTTTCTCCTGTAAAAGTTTCAGAGATGATAACCTTTTTTATCATCATCAACATGTTTCTTTGAATTTTTGGGTTGAGATTGTCACAAAAACACATATATGTTTTGGTTTTGCAAGCAAGAGCTTTATAGTTCAAATATTCAGTTTGTCAAAACTTTAAAAATATTTTGGAGTTTTTTTACTAAGACCTCTCAACATTTTTGAAAATAAAAGGAATTTTCTAGCTGTTTTTTCCCTTTTTAGTTGTCAAAGTTATTTCTAGAAGAAAGAGAAATATTGTGATGGAAACATTTTCACACTCCTCCCTATCTAAACATAAGCAAAGGGACTTTGAAGGGAGTGTGCAAATATCTCTGTGCCTAAATTATTTACATGATTTTGTTCAGCCAGTTTGGACAAATGCAAAAGTACTTCTCTTAAGAAAGATTAATCAGTTGCACAAATACAAAATGGGAAATGACAGCCTAGAAAGATGTACTGCAGGGAAGGATTTAGGGTTATAGATCATCACAAACTAAATACAGGTGAATAAAATATTGCTGTTGTACCAAAAACCCAAAGGGCTAATATCATGGTGAAATGTACTGCAAGCGTGTTGAAAGCAAGACACAACAAGTAATTTTTCAATTTAGCATTGACAAGGTCTCAGCTGGAGTAGTAAGTCTACTTCTGAGCACCACGCTTCAGGAAAGATGTGAACAGCTTAGTGGAAGTCCAGAGAACAATAACAAAAATGACTAAAGGTCTGGAAAACGTGACCTATGAGGGAAGTTGAACAAAATGGGTTTGTTTAATCTGGAGAAGACTGAGGGGGACATAAGAGGCTTCAAGTACAAAAAAGTTTGTTTTATAAATAGATGGGTGATAAATTGTTCTCCTTAGTCACTGAGGACAGGACAAGAAGTAATAGGTTTAAATTGCAGTGAGAGAGATTTAGTGTAGGCATCAGGAAAAACTTCCTAATAGTAAGGACAGTTGAGCAATGGAACAAATTACCTAGGGAGGTTGTGGAATCCACTTCGTCACCTAACATACAATCATAGAATGCTAGAACTGGAAGGGAATCTCGTGAGGTCATCAAATGCAGTTCCCTGCCCTCACAGAAAGACCATGCACTGTCTAGATCATCCCTGAAAGATGCCTATCCAACCTGCTCTTAAATATCTCCAGTGATGGAGATTCCACAACCTCCCTATGCAATTTATTCCAGTGCTTAACCACCCTGACAGTTAGGAAATTTTTCCTAATGTCCAACCTAAACCTCTATCATAAGAGGCCAAGGAGAATAATTTTCTTCCTCCTCCTCGTAACACCCTTTTAGATACTGGAAAAACCGTCAAACACCTGTCAGGGATGGTCTACATAATACTTAGTCCTGCCTCAGAGCAGGGGACTGCACTAGATGACCTATCAAGATCCCTTTCAGTCCAACATTTCTGGATTCTATGATCAACTTGATATTGCTTATGATTTATCAGCGAGTAGGGGCCAGGAGCGTCATCAGCCTCTGCAGGCCTCTGGGCAAGGTGTCAGGTGGACCAGCTCTGTGCCCCCAGAGGGGGCGGAGACTTAGGAAGAATGGGAAGGGCTGGGTCAGCCAGCCTTCTGCACCACCCAGAGTTTGGGGTCCCCTAGCCCTCAGAGCTACACGCAATGCCCCATCCTGTTGGTGGGTCAGGTGGAAGGACAAAGACCCATACTCTTTTAGTGGAGTTGCACACACATTTGAAAGTTGCCAGAGTTGGAAATAATCAAATCCTTCAAGTGTTCTCATGCTAGTGTGCAGTTGTGCTCTTAATAGCTTTATTTCTCTTTAAAACTATACTCCTGACTGTTGTGTGAAATCTTCTGCACATAAAATTAAGACATTCAAAGTTATGGCTCATGTATTTATTCAGGGCCAAATCCTCTATAATAGAATCTGCCCGAACACAGCAGAACTAATGTGGTTCCACACTACCCACAATGTCACAGCAGTGTTCCCCACAGAGCAACTGATGAACCTTTTATGCAGAAAACTCATAGTGAGGATTAATTCATAATGAACTAAGACCACTTACCTGAATTAGGGATCCCAGGAGGTTTAGGACCTTTTAATGTATGTGCATTGACTTTATGACTTCAGTTGATTTGCCTTAACTTTCTTGCGGGTCCCCCATATAAACTAGGGATGTTAAATATCGGTTAATAGAATAGTCGAGTAACCTCATGAATTCTTATTGGTTAGTCGACTATTCTATAGTCCCTGGGAGTGGGGCTGGCAGCAGCGCAGGATTCCAGGCAGGAGCTAGTCTGTGATGGGAGCCAGTTTAAAAACAAGCTCCTCTTGCAGACCAACTGCTCGTTGCCCTGTGCTGTTGCCTCTGATAAAGAGGCAGCAGTGTGGGATGGCAGCAGCCCCTGTCTGTGGCAGGAGGGGAGTGGGTGTCTGAGCTCCCGGACTTAGCATGAACCGGAACTGAGCCAGGCTGCCTGCCAGCCTGGCTCCTAATATACTTTAAATCCAGAGCCACAGCAGGGGTAGGTCCCGCACCCAGCATGAGTCACAACTGAGGCAGGCTGCTGAAAAATTTCCTGGTTTGAGGGCGGAGGGAAAAGCATGTATTCTATAGCATTAAACAATAAGCAAAAGCTTATAGGTTAAATCTACTACACTGTTGCTTCCCTAATGTAAACCTGCTGTAAGTGTGTAGTAGTCCCCACCACACCGGGACTATGCAGATGCTCTGTGTGCCACCCAGGCAAAGGTCTTTTACTCCCAACTGACTGTCAATGCAGCATCACCGTATAAAATGTTTTACTCATGGTGCCCGAATTTTACATGAAGGAAGTAAAGATAATTCTGGAGAAAGCCTGATCCTGTGCTACTGACCAAAAGGTGAGCAAGATGGGGGAAATAATTATTACTACTTTGAGTCGTAAGCACAAGGAAGTGGTAAGGAGGTAAGGTTGCTGTGGAAATAGGGCCTTAGAACATTTTATTGTACTTTTCCGCATGTATAAGTCTCAGTTGTAATGTTTCATTAACATCGTTTTTGAAATTGGTGCATAATTAAATTTTGATTGAGGCTTCTTTCATTTCTGGCAGTCCTTTGCAAAATTAATTGGGTCTTTTGCCATATGAAGTCCAATATGGTCTGCTCTGGGAAGATAGCTATTGATTGTCTTTTTAGTACAGTCCATTTTTCTGCCGAGTAAAGATTTCAGACTGGTTGCAGTTGATGGCCCAGTGGTCATTACTCTTCTATAAGAACAGAGCAGTGAGGTGCATCTCGTAAAAGTCTGTATTATGTATGCATAATCAGGTTGGCCTTGGTTTTTAAGGGCTGATACTAAACTTTAATAACATGAACTAATGACCTTTTGACATCATGAAAAGGCTTTAAAGCATTCAGTTAAAATTAATATTTTAAAATAAATGTTTTCATG